ATGACAGTGGCTTGTAATGAGAGAGAGAGAGAGAGAGAGAGAGAGAGAGAGAAGGGTATGAGCACCTGTTTGTGATTGAGTGCTGTGAAAATGCGAGTTCCCGGCAATCGATTACAGAGATTAATTATAACTGAAGTGTTTGTTAGACTTCTGGCTTCTCAACGAAATATCGAGGATACTACGAGTATGATAAAGCATTCAGACGACTAGAGAGGTTGAGGTCTCGCGGAGTCGCTGAAATAGATTAGGGCTGCCATCATACTTAAGCTACATGTCCTTTTGACGTCCATTTAGGCCGAACACATGGGACAGAACCCGCTTTGCGGCCCATGAACGCAAAACAGAGTGTTCGTCTACGTTGCTGCAACCTCAGTTGGGAACTTAAAGGAAGGATACTGACATCAGAACAATAAGCCTCTGTTAAACTCTAATTGTCGACAGATCATTTGACTGCACAGCCTCTTACCCCGTAGGAGAATGAAATTAAGGAGGCGCAATTGACTTGAAGCCTCCTGAATCGACTGGTCACCACCAGAAATGGTGGCCGTCGGTGGTGCAAATAGCGAGAAGAAGGGCAATTCACGCAGACTTGAGTTGAGGCTCGGATCAAGTTTGGAGAGACAGCGTCGAATAAAGCGCGGGGTGCCGCTGGCCAGCTCCAGGTAATTGAACGCCTCCTCACGAACAGCACTGTACAGTCGAGTGAGTGTGGGATCTGCAAAAAAAGAGAAGAGCGAAATTAGTATTCGAAGCCGAAATCTGGGCTACGAGTGTGGATGGTTGATGTCTACAAGTACGCCTAAAAGGACTATTTCGACTTAGCTTTTAGCTTTTGCCGGTACTCCTGCTACGCCTGGAATATCGTTCGATTACGAACATCTTTTCAAAGAGGACTTAATCAAGTGAAGAAGACCAGACTTTCCTGGAGGAAACCTCGAAGCAACTGTAGCAAGATCAAAACACCTTTTGGTGTTAAAGAAAGTTACAGGATGGTTTGCAAAGGACCACTAGGAAGCCTTCGCTGCCAGCACTAGCGTCTTGATACACG